CCAGGCACCCCTGCTTATTATCTTTTTAACCATAATTTTAAATGTCAAATTAATGCATCATGAATTGTTTCCCCAATCTCCTATTGTTGAGCCGTTTCTAATTTTTACTTTGGACAAAAAGTTTGTTCTTTTGAATTATTTCCTCATGATAAATACCCAGAAGTGAGGTTCCTGATCAAAGACTGGCACATTTTTCTGGTTCTTGGTACATACTGTCCTGGCACTTTCCCAAAGAGCCTACTAATTTTAATGTCACTTGCTATGTGCCAGCGCTGATTTGTGCAGCATTTGAGGATTGTCTAGGTATAACATACTTCATTGTGCTCATTTGCATGTTGTTGACTACTAACCAAGTAGATGTTTCTCCATGTCTGGGATTGTTGTCTATCATCTGTTGTCCTTTGCTGTTAAGGATGCTCTTTGTCTTCACAGACCAGGAGCGGAAGAGTATGCCCCCTGACCCTCTTGATGCTTCCCTGGCAGACCACATGCAGCCCCCCGTGTCAGATACTGTCCCAAAGACGTAAGTGTTCGAAGTTGTAATGACATGGACGGCTCCACTTTTATTTCATGTTTGTTTGTTTGTTGTTTGTTTTAAAGTCATCTCTACACCCAACCTGGGGCTTGAACTCATGACCCCAGGATCAAGAATTACATTCTCTACTGGCTGAGCCAGCCAAGCACCCCTCATTTTTCTTTGTTTTTAATTAATTGAATTTCTGTTTTTTCTAAGCATGAAGATTCTCAGGCCAACCGCATACTCTAACAGCTGAAATTGTTGTCTAAGAAACAGATTCTTGGGGAGGATTATATTGTGATATGTTTCCTCCTTCAACCATATTCTTTGGCTGGGTGGGTGCAGAACAAAGCTTAACAGTGTGGAAACCACTTTCTCCATTTGTCTATATAGCTGAGATCTACAGACATGCCTAGAAAGGTGAAGTCTGTCATCTCAACCTTGGTTTCTCCTCTCAACATTCACTCAGCTCTGGGTAAAATAAACAATACTTAATAATACTATCACAAATTGCTAACATGTAGTAAGTGCTTCCTATGTGCTCACTATGTGCTTACCCCAAGCTCATTGACCAAGGCTCGGCCAGTAGCCCCAGTCACCTGACCTCAGCCCCATTTGGCAGTGGCAGCTAGAACTATAGCCTCTTGTGACCCCCCATGAGCATCAGTGACTTGAGAACCTGCCCTCACCTGCCTCCTGGTCTAAGGATTCCCTCCTGGGTCAAAAAGGTTTTATGTTCCCTAGGAACAAAGGGAGAGAGGCGCTATCTGGTGCAGAGGCAGCTCTCTGAAAAATTCCATTTTTTGACTTTTATACCTCAGCTTTTCCCACAATGGATTTAAATGACTTACAACAACCGCATCACCAAGAAAAAGGTGAGATAACCAAAAAGAAAAAAATTTTTAAGCCAGCAGGAAAAAAAAAAAAAAAAACACCAACACTACACAAAAGTCATTATAGTCTTTGTGACCAAAAATCAGACTTTCAGATTTGATAGAGATTGCCGAATGTGAAAGCAAACAAACAAACAAAAGAAGCAACACAATCAGGTTTGTGGTTCTCATATGCAGCGTACCTGTTCCTCAGGGGAAATAAATGTTTTCTTAGCGTTAAATTCTAAAGGATAAATCTTCTGTGGGTTTTTATAGAGTGACATTGAATGATTTAAAGACTCATATATTTACAGGAAATTCCATTTACCTCATCCAACAAATATTTCTCACGTTTCTATAGTAAGGCCCTGTCCTAGCACAGCACAGTGAATATAATACTGATTTAGCTAGAAAATAAGATGCCCAGAACCAGGCCTGGCCCACAGAAGCTGTTGCTGCAGCTGTTACTGAAACCCGCATGGCTGTTTCTTAGGGACCCTTTTACCCAGAGAACATAAGTCCGTTATCCTTAGGGCAGATAATCAGTGACAGCAATTCTACAAAGGATCACACAAACACAGGTCTTGACCTTTTGGTGGCTAGATTTGATCAAGAAGAGAATTCAAAGGGCATAAAAGAATGGATGGATAGTTGCATGTTCCTAAAACAGTCTTTCTTAAAGGTCATTTATTTTTCAGCTGAGTCTTTGAAAGAAGAATTTCAGTTAGATAACCTTATGTCATTCAACTAAAGGCATAAATATGCAACCCCAGAGAGGCAGACTCTTTCTGCTCTCTAAATTGAGGACTTAGCCGGAGAGAACCCCAAAAGGGAAGACTCAACTTTCTATTCTCCCTTCTTCAGGAATGTGTTGGGAAAAAGAGGGTTGACCGAGTGTGTAAAATGCCCATCATAGCACCGCAGAAACGAGGGCTCAGTGTTCACTTTTCCTCTTCCTTGTCCGTAAGAGGTTTTGATAATGTTTGGTCCCACTGTCTTGCTCTTTCTTAAAGGGGCAAAGATTATGATGTGCACCATCTGCACAGGAGACGCCCAGGACACGAGTCCCCAGAGAGGTTGAGTCCTATAGATGCATCTTTTTTTCCAAGAGGAACAGAAGGGAGGGCTGAACCAAGACTGTTCAACCATCAGGCTCTAGCCAACATCAGTGTAAGTGTAAACATCTAGGAGCTTGGTCCAAAAGCTTGCTCCCATCAGGCTACCATGTACAGTTGTGCAGATTGCTTACTCTATATACAAGGGGAACTGCAAAGGGGCAAGTGAGAGCTGAAATCCAGTCTGTGGTTCACTCACCATGCCCTGTACCCCCGCAATGAACTGCATCCTTCTGAAGGAAGGGGTGCCCATTTCTAATTCCTGCAAAGGTACTAAAAGGAAACTTCAGTTGTCCTACACACCACTTCTGACGCCAGATGTGTGGAGTCTTTTCCGACATCAATCGATCTCCAGCTCAAAGGATACCAACTGGGTGTCATGTAGTTCAATTCTGACCCTGCCTGGAATTAGCACAGACCCCACAGGTTAAGGACTTGGTCCCACAAGACTGCCCCTACTTCAGACACCAGTCACAAGTCCCAGGTTGTCACCGAAGGAGGGTTCCCACAACCTCTTCTTCAGCTTTGATAATTTGCTAGAATGGCTCACAAACCTCAGAAAGTTATTTACTCACTATAACTGATTTATTACAAAGGGTGTTTTCAAAGATCTTATTGTTTTTTGGGTTTTGTGTTTTTTTAAGATTTTATTTATTTGAGAGAGTGAGAGAGAGCACAAGCAGGGGGAGGGGCAGAGAGAGAGGGAGAAGCAGACTCCCCGCTGAGCAGGGAGCCCGATGCGGTGCAGGACTCAATCCCAGGAACCTGAGACCATGACCCGAGTTGAAGGCAGATGCTTAACCAACTGAGCCACCCAGGTACCCCAAAGATTTTATTGTTAAGTAATCTCTACACCCAATGTGGGCTTCGAACTTACAACCCCAAGATTAAGAGTTGCACACTCCACCGACTGAGCCAGCCAGGTACCCCTTACAAAGGATATTTTAAAGGATACGAATGAACAGCCAGATGAAGAGATACCTAGGGCAAGGTCCAGAAGGGTCCCAAATGCTGGCGCTTCTTTCTCCATGGAGTTGAAGGTGTGTACCCTCCTGGCATGTAGATGTGTTCACCAACCCAGAAGCAATCCAAACTCTTTTGGTTCAGGTTTTTATGGAGGCTTCATTATGTAGGCATTGATTGATAAAAGCATTGATTAAAGCACTGGCAAATGATTGTTAACTCAACTTCCAGACTTTTCTCCCTCCTCTGAGATTGCGGATGTTGGGCTGAAAGTTCCAACCCTCTAATAATGTGGTTGGCTTCCCTGGTAACCAATACCCCCTCCTTAGGTGCTTTCCAAAATCACCTTATTAACACACTCTCAGGTGTGGTTGAAAGAGGTTGTGTTAATGAAAAGCGAAAGCCACTCTTTTCACATTTGTGCTCCAGAAATTACAATGGTTTTAGGAGTTCTGTGCCAGAGACCGGGGATGAAGACCGAATATATATTTCTTATTATGTCAAAATATCACAGGCACTGAGAGGGTAGCCGTGGCCCCACTCTGCCATCCTCTCTTTGGAGGAATCTCCATTGTTGTCCCAGCCCATGGGGAAAGGTGAAGACTGACATGGTTTTGGTCATCTGCTTGAGAAACTTCTGGAAAGTTAGCAAATGATGCAACAGTGAATAAAGCTGGCTTTGATTTAAACTAAACATTAACTGTAGCAATAGCATTCTATCAAAGTTGAAAATTGCTTCACTTTGATCCAACTCTGTAGATCATGATTTAGCATCAAAAAAGGGGACAATAACAAAGTGTATTTTGTTCCTCTTTCCTCCTATGGCATTAGACCTAGCAGTTTTAAAGGAAAGGCTGAACCTGAGGATCTCCGCACCAGCTCCATTCTAAGACTCCCTCTTCTGCTTCATGTGGAACCCACACAAATTCCAATCTAAGCCATTCTGTTTTGTTCAACATAATCTTCCTTTGATGTTTTTTTTTTTCTTGTTTGCCACACATCATGGTCCTTTTCCTTAATTCTTCACCTTTAGGAGATGGAGTTGATTGGCAAAGTCAAGAGAAAGAAAAGAACCAAGACAGACAAGTCCAAGGCGCCCAAGGGGAGGAGAGAAGGAAAGGTCCAGAGGGAAGCAGAGGCCGCTGTAGGTAAGGGAATGTGCCCTTGACAAACAACCCAGGAAAAGACACCTAATGGGGGCTGGGAGGTGTCACAGGGAATCAGCATGAATCCAATGGGACAAACTACCTGTTTTGAGTCTTTTTAACTATCTCTGGCTAAGATGCCATTGCAGCCTTACTTCATGTCAGTATCTTAGGAGAGAGAGAAGAGACGAAAC